CCGGCTGGCCTTGCCGGTCACAGCAACGCCTGCGGTCACGTCGCCAGGGGAGGCCACAGGGACCCCACTTCCACAGGCAGGGCTTCCTCCCTCCCGTGTCCGGGCCTCGGAGGTGCCCCCCAGCTCACTAACGTTTCCCAGCCCCATTAGCTGCAAAGCGATGCCTCCGTGTTGTTTTAAATTGCATTTTGTGCCTGTGTTTGGAGGAAGAATGGAAGCTCGGAGAAGTGACCAGAGGCCCTCAGCTGGTGGGTGAGTAGCTGGGCTTTGCCGCCCGCTCTGGGCTGAGCTGGAGGCGGCGGGGGTTCAGGGGCCCCTCGCCTGGGCAGAGGGCTGGGCCAGCGCGGGCTCCCACCTGTGTGGGTGCATCTTCCGCTGTGGTCGGGCGCCACCTGGTGGCGCTTGGAGGGAACTGCGGCTGCGGAGGACACCCGAATCGCCTCACTTTTGAGGCTCCTACAGCTGTTTTTTTACATTTAAATTTTAATTATTTCTGAGATACAATGGACACATAACATGACATTCGCTTCAGGGGTACAGCGTGATTTTTTCTCGTGATGGGAATCTGCCCATCTACTCTCTTCGCACCCCCAAATGGACAGCCCCCAGTGTCAGCCGCCGTCACCGGGGAGGTGGTGTCTCTTCTAAAAGCTCTCGCGGTCCGCGTGCACCTGGGATGGACCTTCACGTGCGGTGAGAGCGGAGGGCGGAGGGTGGATACTTTTTCCTTGGATATTTCCCTGACCGCCCGCTTATTTTTTATTTATTTTATTCTTTGTCAGTCCTCACCTGAGGATATTTTTCCCTTGATTTTTAGAGAGAGTGGAAGGGAGGGGGAGAGAGAGAGGGAAACATCCATGTGAGAGAGACACATCGAATGGTTGCCTCCTGCACACGCCCCAACCAAGGCTGGGGATCGAGCCTGCAATCGAGGTACATGCCCTTGACTGGAATCGAACCCAGGACCCTTCAGTCCACGGTCTGACACTGTATCCACGGAACCAAACCAGCTAGGGCTGACTGCTGACTTATTGAGGTCTTTTCCCCACGGGCCACGGGGTGCACCGGTACATGTGTGTCTGTCTGTGTTTCTGGCAATAACTGTCTCAGAAGATGCAGTATAACCAGGCCATGCACAAGGTCACTTCCGAGTGTGGGAAATGCTGGAGGTGCTGTCTGCCCGGGCCCCCGTGAACAGTCCTTCCTCACACTTCTCCGTGGATCTCGGGGCTCACCGTGGGCTCCTGTGGCCAGAACAGGAGCACAGCTGCCCAGGAGGCCACCGGCCCCGGGAACCCTAGAAATGCAAGCCCTAACCGGTGTTTCTCCAATTGCACTGGAGGAGCTCAGGGGAGAGGAAATGTGGACGAGAAGCCGGTTTTCTAGGGTTCCCGGGAGGAGGTCTAGGGAACAGGACTTGAGCACAGGGCCCAGGAGGCAGGTGGCCTCTGAGACCCAGCCCGCCTCCCCCGTCCGCTATGCCGTGGGGGCCGCACCTGAAAACCCTCTGACCCCAGAGCATCCCTGTGGCCGTAGGGTGAGGCGGCCCCTTCTCTGAAGTCCTCTCCCTCCCTTCTCCTGTCCTCACTGGGCCCAGGAGGCCTGCTCCCTGCTGGGCAGCAGAACCCGGGGCCTGGGGGGTGTGCTTCCCACAGCAATACCCGCCCCCCTCCGCCGTCCCGAGGGTCAGGGAGCACCGGGCAGCCCCTTGAAGCCGTGGCATCCAGCTCAGCAGGGGCTGGGCGGACCTCCGGCTAAAATGACTCTACCTTGCGGAAAGGGGGTGCGTGCTGACGAATGAGTCCCAGAACTGGGGACTTGGGTTCCCCGACAATCTCCCAGAGACCCTGGCTGAGGACTGGAGCAGTGGGCCAGGAGGGCCAGCCTCCGGGGGCCACCAGCCTTGGCCCAAATTCTGGCCATTTCAGTAGGCAGTGTGGCTGGACCAGGGCAGGAAGGGGGTCAGGAGTGTGGGTCCCAGTGCCGACTGTCATGGACTCAGGGGTCTTGGGGGACCTCCCTGCCTCTCGCGGAGCCGCCAACTCCTCACATCTGGCCTGTGCATTGTGGGTTGAATTGTGTTCCCCCAAAGGTTTTGTGGAAGTTCTCACCCCCTGGTACTTCGGAATGTTATTTGCCAACCAGCTGGGCTCCTCCCCCTTTTTAAAGAGTTCATTTTCCTGGAGGGCCAGGCACTCATTGGAAAGCCGGCATCATGCAGCCATTTGCAGCTGGAGAGGCTGGCGGGTGGGGAGGCTGGTGGGTGGGGAGACTGGTGGGTGGGGAGAAGTGCTGACTGTCATGGACTCAGGGGTCTTGGGGGACCTCCCTGCCTCTCGCGGAGCCGCCAACTCCTCACATCTGGCCTGTGCATTGTGGGTTGAATTGTGTTCCCCCAAAGGTTTTGTGGAAGTTCTCACCCCCTGGTACTTCGGAATGTTATTTGCCAACCAGCTGGGCTCCTCCCCCTTTTTAAAGAGTTCATTTTCCTGGAGGGCCAGGCACTCATTGGAGAGCCGGCATCATGCAGAGGCTGGCGGATGGGGAGGCTGGCGGGTGGGGAGGCTGGTGGGGGGGGAGGCTGGTGGCTGAGGAGGCTGGCCGAGGCCCTGCTGGAACATGGCAGAGGTACCAGCTCCCGCCTGCGTGTCTGACCGGCTGCCCCTCTAAGGGCTGCCTCTCCCTGTTGGTGATGGGTGGGGGCTGGGGCCGCACACGTCTCTGACTCCAGGCAGTGACTCCGTGGAGGCGGTACCTGAGGGTGGCTTGGAGTCTCAGGGGAGCGGACATTTGAAAGCAGGCGGGACCCGCCCTGTGGGTGTGGGAGGCAGAGAGAGACCCGGCCAGCTGGCCAGTGGCTGCTCACCAGCGACCTGGGGTCAGCGTGAGGGGACACGGGTTTGCCAGCAGCAGCTTTGCAACAGGGTTTGGCTCGACAATGCCGCGCTGGTTCCCGGGGCCTGTGGGGGAAGCAGGGGCCGGGCGGCGGCTCCCAGTCCTCCCTGGGGGTCCTCCCCAGGGGGTCCTCCCCAGGGCCTGCGGGAGCAACCCCAGTCCCTCCCAGAGCACCCTCTCAGCAGGCACGGCCACCAGCCCCTTTCACAGACCAGGGAACAGAGGCGCCGAGGGCAGTGGACAAGTGGGGCTGGACAGGCACTTACCTGAGCTGCTTGCAGGGCCCAGAGGGCCCGGGCTTCTAACCCCCGTGGGAAGCTGCTCCAGGACGGGGCCGTGTCTGCAGGGGCTGCAGGGGCTGCAGGGGCTGCAGGGGCCTTCGGATCTGCCCGGGCCTCCCAGATGCTAGACGCAGAGCAGGGCCTGAGGTGAGGACACGGGTCCGTCCAGCCCTGCTGCTCCTCATCCGTGGGACCCGGCAGGTCCTCCCACTGCCCCCCCCCACCCCAGACAGGCTCCCACCGGACACACGAGCGAGCCGGCTCCCCACAGAGCCACGCCGCGAGGTGTGGTGAGGAGGGGCGGGAGGAGCCAGCCCCGCGGCTGCTGGGCCGGTTCTGAGTCGGAGGAGGACAAAGGCCGCTGGGCACCGCCGTCCATGCAGCTTAGCCTTGTTTGCAGGTCACCACGGTCCTACGGGCCCCAGGGCAGAGCCAGCCCGGGAGGGGGGGCCGCGGGGAGGGGCGGCTTAGAGGGACACGGTGGGGTACGGGGCGAACACCTTCTTGGCGTCTATCTCCGCTTCCACCATGTGGGGGTGGATGTCCACCACCAGCCCTGCGTCCGTGCACAGCTTGAGCAGCGTCCGGATGTTGTTCTTGGACAGCCTCAGGTACCTGCGCGGACGGCAGAGTGAGGCCGGACCCCGGGCCCCCCGAGGCTCTCGAGGCATCCCCGGGGGGGGCACAGACACTGTTGATGCTTCATTCAGCTTCGGGTCTCCATCCCCAAGGAGTGGTTGCTTTCCTTTCCTTTCCTTTTCTTTTTTTAAATATATTTTTATTGATCTCAGAGAGGAAGGGAGAGAGAAACATCAATGATGAGAGAGAATCACGGATCAGCTGCCTCCTGCACGCCCCCCACTGGGGATGGAGCCCACACCCCGGGCCTGTGCCCTGACGGGGAATCGAACCCTGACCTCCTGGTTCCTAGGTCGATGCTCAACTCCTGAGCCCCGCCGGCCAGGTGAGTGGGTGGGGGGTTTATGGGTAATGAAGTCGTTTGGAAATCAATGTGGTGACATATATCCCAGCACCGCCCCTGCCTGCCCCTCCCCCCAAAAGGTCATGTCCACCCGGGACACGGGACACTGGCCGGTGGCCTCTGAGACCCAGCCCGCCTCCC